CACCAAGAATTGTAAGAGTCACATTACTCATATCCCATTTCATTGAGCAACACAGCAAATCATTTGACAAATTGAAGCTGATGTCACCTGCAGCTAAGAGAATTAGAACACAAAACTAAGTCAAACACTCATCTTCCATATTTCTCACCCATTATAACCAGCCTGGAAACCAGTCAGACCCAAGCAAACCCAGGAGAGCATGCAAACATCATGCATATCACTAGAGCTGTGAGGGTATAGTGCAAATTACTATGTCATCCTTAGCTGGAAAAATAGCCTAAATTACCTCAAATTACATTAATATCATAACCATGATTAGAGCTATAAGAAACAAATAGAATCGGATGAATACTGGAACAGAAAAGGGCAGTTTTAATTATAGAATTTTTTATAAAACTCTGATCATGATTATAGCATACAGAACTGAATATTGGGCTTACCAATATCTTTGGTTTTGATGGATCTTGATGAATTTGATTTTGAGATGCAGGATCCTTGAGTTACGCTTATGTTACTGTAGGTTGTACAGGGCTTCAGTGAAATCTTCACTTTGTTTTGGAATTCCAGTCTGTACTTTTCACGATCCTCATCTTCAAATGTTAGAATACTTGACTGACCATTGTCTACCGTAACTGAGATGCCATATTGGGTCTCACTAACTGAGAAGTTTCCTGTATTACAGAAATAAAATTCAAAAGTTTGAGAGATGCATATCAAGTGGAAATACAAACCTGGTCATACATGAAATCAAAGCAAGCAATAATGATGTATAACAATCTAAACTCTAATATATGAAGCAGCAAGCATGTAGAAACAGGATAAATGTTGATGAATACCAAACTTTTTGAAAGTTATTTTCCTCCTTTTATTTTAAAAGATCTTTTGAAATTTAATAAGAGCAACATAGTTATTGTTCAGAGACCACGTTGAATTGGTCATCTGAAACTCACCACAGGATTCCTGTGTAGAGCCTGGTGAAGAAAAGAGCACAATCAGAAGTCATTTGGGAACAAAAGAATGAAGGATAATACTTTATGCACAAATGCAGAAGGACCCCCTTAGAGAGAGAG